TTCAGTCATATGGATAAATCCATTCTTCGAAAAGTATTTTGGGTTATATTCAAGAAGTGTCTTAAATGGATAACGAATACGAGAATACCACATTTCTGGTGTTTCATTAATATAGCTATATTGCAGATTGTTTAACACCCGCATTATTACAGGATTCAAACCATTATAGTTAGATTTAACCATTTTACGGATATAGCGACTTTATAGTAATTTATAGCGAATTTGATAATTTTATAGTGTTTTTAGCGATTTAAAGACTTATAGTGATTTATAGCAAGTATATTATAATAAAATATCAGATTCATTTTTATTCGATTACAGGCATATTGGGATTTATATAGGGTCATATCTCAGCTATGCTAATTTTATATTTTACATAGCTCCCAGTCAGTTCCCAGCACTTCTCGCAACAAGATAAGTTGCAGATCAGATCAGCCAATCAGATTTTGCGCAGTAACTAAGCCATCATTATGATCCATAAACCAGCCACCATGTGAAAAATGTTGGATTCGCTGTCCTATGCCTTTAATCTTTTCCCAAGTTACAGGGTCGTATTCATTCCCAAACAACTTATTAGTTTTTCTTGCTTTACAGGTCATTACATGTAAATACCCATTGGAAATGCCTTTGCAGAAAAAAATTATATTCTTGATCCTGTACGACCTACTTTCTTGACCCGCAAGATAGTAACACCAAGAAGATTAATTTTTGCGCCTCGGCAAGAATTTTTCCGATATCGTACTGCGCATCGATCTCACATATCTCACATGACCATTTTGGTAATTAGACTAATGACATGATCTATAAAACTTATCACGCGCGTGAACTTAACACAATTATATTTATTATATACTGTTATTATTTTTCTGACAACATAAGAATAAATCGTACGAATGTTGACAAATATATAAAATCATTAAAATGATTCGTTCACAAGTTGCTGAAAATTTATCAATCATTTAAAACGTCCATACCAGAATGGACAGCTTCTATGGCAGTCTCGTGTTCTACTTACGAGCTTGTTGAATTTTGGTGTGGCAAGGGTATCCCGTTTGAATTTTACATTTTTTGATAGTGAACTAGGATTGCGAATCTTATTGTAAAATGTATCAAATGATTTTATAAAAACCTCTTTTATGCGTAAAAATACTTCTATATCATCGACAAAGGAAAGCATCTCTTTTAATGATGCTGGAATAGAAACTTGTCCAATATGGACCATAACATACATCCCATTAACAAGATTAGTCGCATAAAAGTCGACCGTATGGTCTATATAATGAAGTGTCAAACCTAATTAAAAAGAGTTTCATAGGTGAAAAAAAAACACATTATGTTGATTTTCTTACCGACACATTGAAAACCAATTACATTGATTTCGGCACCTTTGTCTATGGCAAAATCCACACAGTCTTTCATGAAGACGCCGAGTCGAATCAGATCATTGCAGTTTTTATAAACATTAGCTTTTTGAGACGGAGGGCTGACCTCCCCTATAACAGTAACAGCAACCGTTTGAAGTTGATGAATAACCGAGACAACAAAGTCTGGTTGTTTTGTCCTTCCTTCGAATTTCCTCGACTTACTCTCGTCCAATGCTGTATTCGGCCATTGAACGATGTATTTGTCTGGGCCATGAAAAATGCCTTTCATAATGTAGTCTAAGTGATTAGTAATAAGTGATGTTTCACTGGGTTCGTTTCTGATTTTATCAGCGGGTAATGTCTCTAATCCTTTTAATATAACAGAGCCGAAGTTCTTCAAATTTCGATTGTTTACAAGCTCTGCAGAAAGCCAATCTATTGCATCATCACGCGAATTTTTATTTGCTTTTTTGATGGCTTCCCTAAATTTTGATTCGAATTTAGGATCCAATGCAATTTGTTGCGTCGGCTTGAGTTCTTGATGAATTTGATCAAGTAAAGGCGATCCGAAAAGATCAATCATGATTGTTGAATGTGAATTAGGGACGAGCATTAAAATTGAGGATAGGGATAATATTTCATTCAACAAGCAAACCCTTATCCCTTGCAAGCTTCAGCGACTGATTTTGATAATTTCGGAATAGCGAGGACACATTAATTTCTCTTATAAGAAAATCATCGGCTGAATTTCCATCTTCAAAGGTCAGATCACCTGGGATATCGTCAATTGATAAAATGACATCGCTTTCCTCCAGGAACGGATTATTATCAATATCGACAAGTATTTTACTTTGAAGGTCTAACATTGGAAGTTCTATTGCCGTATTTTTTGATTTTGGACTACATGGTGACGGTGTTGTATATCCATTTTGAATATCGCCTGGTGGTTTTATTAGAGTGATGGCGGGCAGTTCTTCTTCATTGTCCATATTACCAAATGATTGTTGCTCGTGTTGAGTTTCGCGTGAAGATGAAGTGTCGTTACGGTTATGGAAGTAATGCTCGATTTTGGTACGTTTCAGGGCTTTATCATTATTCTAAAAATTAAAATTGAAATAAATCGTAGTTAAATCTAATTTCTCATACTATCCAAAAGAATTAAACATCAGAAAATTAGACTCACTCTTTTGATTTCTTCAACACTCGTTTGTTCACGATTTTCATACGGCCGTTTATGCCCTTGAAAATTATTTCCGGTACCAGCGAATTGCATTTCATTATAAGATCCACCGAATTGTATTCCATCTAAATCGCAAGATACAAATACGTTTTCGGCATTTATCTTGTCATTTTCCGTATGATTGCACTTCAGCCCATGTAAAGATTTCAACCAAAAGTTATCGATACGCCCCCCCCTTTTAGACTCCAACTATTAAAAATAGATTTTACATGTTAACATAGTCAAAAAACTAAAAATTAACATGATGACTTATCACAAGCTGGCTACAGCGGAGGCGAAGTCCATAACCATGCGAAGACGAAGTTCCATGGGTAGCTGTAGCCAACAGCGGAGGCGAAGTCCATAACCATGCGAAGACGAAGTTCCATGGGTAGCTGTAGTAGCGGAGGCGAAGTCCATAACCATGCGAAGACGAAGTTCCATGGGTAGCTACTGAATGTGAGCTAGTAATCTGCAGTCAGATAAACTATGGAAGCATACTGACCTGAAATTGTTTTTCAACACGAATTGCATTCTTTTTTTCCTCTTCCGTGCCTTGTGCAATTATCTTCCGCAACTGTGTGTTAAATCTTCTTATTACGCTCGCCTTATCCAAACCCAAATTACTATCTTTCCAGGACTTATGATACTGCACTGCATCCCAGTCTTCACAGGGAGTTTTTAAGAAGTATTCAAATCCAAGGCCGGCTTCCTTGATTTCAGATAGCATGATTTATAATTGACTAGACAAATTCTGAAAATTTAAAATTTTAAAGCGCGTTATCTTTTTAAATAAATCAATATTGCCTTAAGGGGTAGATCACAGCGTGCATGAGATCATTATCGCCTGAACGATACTGCGCAAAGTTTCAAGAATTCGGCACGTGATGATGCTTATATATTTTTTGATGCACTGCGCCAGACTTTTGCTTGTGATGAGATTCATGTGAGTAATTTCACTGTGTCTATTGTACGCGTGACGATAGTCATTTTCTCTGCGAAGATCAAAATGCCGATACTAAAAAAAGAAATGTGTCCGTTTTATTTTGGAGCATCAATAGAAGCGGAAATCGATTAAATCGTGATGACATGTTTCAAGAAGCTAGCCGAGCAGTAAATCAACATACCTTATTATTGCTTTGCAGAATATAGGAGTTCGATTGATTGTTAATATTAACGATGTAAATATTGGTAAGTTTGATTAGATTTTATTAGTTCACTTGATCTTTACTTATATTTGCGCAAGGCAGATAAAAGGGTTCACTAACTGTCTTGCCTTCTTTTTATATGATTTGTAGCAGTCCAAGAATCGAATTTGGAATAAATCTTCAGGGAATTATGATGGCATCACGGAAAATTAGATCAACAGCATCCCTTTAATTTAACAATAAAGAAATTTAACGCTATCCATATATAAAGATCATCAAAGGGCTATACATAATTTTGAGAATGTGCGAGAAAATTTGAGAATAAATTATTTTGCGCAATTACTTGTTCCCATGATACATGTAACGATTACTATAATATTACTGTACATTAATTTATCAAGCTACAATAAAACTTGAAATAGCACACTTTGCTTTACACAATCCCATAACTTACTCCATGCGAAAAAATTATAAAATGTCTGGTAAATTTGCACCATTGTTTTATTGATCAAATTACTTGAGGACACCCACATCGCTTATATATTCCTTCTGCTACCTTCTTACACCTTTTGCAATACAAATGTGAGTGATGATCGCATTCTTCACAAGCCCTACAGCCATGTTTCCATCCCCTAAATATATGCCATTTTTCAAAGTAGTTCTGCCCCTCCTTTGATCTGTCGATCTGTGGGAACAAAAAAAAAATACCATTTCTTTAATGCCATTATGATTTACTCTAATAGCTTTTCCTGATAGCATGTTTTTATGTATATGAGAAAAAACTCATGTATAATTAATAAGCCGGAAAATAAGGATTAAAAAATCATTTGAATGCGTTACCTGCCAATAGAAGCAGATCTACCGGCTAATCATATGATAAATGTAATTTCAATGACGTCTTACTTGCATATTCATACTTACTGCGCAGGATATCTAAATCTCATACTGTGCTGGGTGATAGTCTCGAACTATACTACAATCGCGAACTTGAGTTTATTGATTGAACTGATGCAGGTAAGACAATATTCCAACTCATCTTGGGAATACAACTTTGCTAATTCAGGATCATAAGGGAGCTGATTCCCA